AGGATCCCCATCAGAGGTGACCTCGCCCATATGGAGCTCCTACAGGGCTGGATTCTATCCGCCTACCTCCATCTGCAGCTCCCGCCATCCCGTGGGCAATGTATAACTGGACTCGTAGAGAAAAAGCTGGCAGGATGCTTGCTGAGACCGTGGCTGGGTCTGTGGGCTCCTGCCCACACCCTATCTCTTTCCCCAGGGCTGTGTTTTTGACCCTCAGAGACCTCGTCACTGTCAACTCCAAAAAAGCTCCTCACTGGGCCATAGGGGAGGCTTTCAGATGGAGGTTTAAGACCCTGTCTTGCCCTCTTCTGGTGGCTGACCAAGTGGATTCTCAGAAAACTTCCCAAAGCCCCAGGAAGGAGTAGCTGGCAGCAAATATAAGTTATTAGAAGAGATATCTAAAGGAAAAGAAGCCAGAACCAAGATGCTTGGAGACTTCCTATTTTGGGGTCTAAACACTTTCAGCCCCTTGCTAATTGTAGGTCCTTGGGGAGATTACCTAATGTCTCTGAGCCTCAGCTTCCTCATCAGTAAAATGAGGACAATAATACTATCTCATCCCACGACAAAAGAATTAAGCAATGTATACAGAGTGCTTAGCTCATGGCCTGGTACCTCACAAACGCTCAAAAAAATAGTAACTATAGGGATCCCTGGGTGGCGCAGCGGTTTAGCACAGGCCTTTGGCCCAGGGCACGATCCTGGAGACCCGGGATTGAATCCCACGTCGGGCTCCCAGTGCATGAAGCCTGCTTCTCCCTCTGCCTGTGTCTCTGCCTCTCTCACTCTCTCTCTCTCTCTGTGACTATCATAAATAAATAAAAATTAAAAAATATATTTAAAAAAATAGTAACTATAATCCTATTGAAGACAGATGGGGAGCACCTGGATGGCTCAGTCGGTTAAGCATCTGTCTTCAGCTCAGGTCATAATCCCAGGGTCCCAAGATCAAGCTCTGAGTTGGGCTCCCTGCTCAGCAGGGAATTTATTGCTCTCTCTCCATTTGCTCCTCCCGCCAGCTCATGCCGTGTTCTCTCTCTCTCAAAAAAAAAAAAAAAGAGAGAGAGAGAGATGGACCAAGGTCTCCAGCTGAGGCAGGAAGGGCTGGGAAGCCAGGAGGCACTGAGGCACAGGTTGCTTAGCCAGAGGTAGGCAGGTGGTTAGTAGATAGAATAAAAACACAAAGTCCCAAGCCTCGTGCTAAGCAGTCTACATACATTATTTCAGTTAAACCTCAGGCTCTCCCTTCGTCAAAAGCAGGGGTTCAGGACAGAAGCTCCCTAAGGCCTTGCCAGTTCAGGGAGCACCTGTCTTTGGTTTACAGAGGTTTTCAGTGTACAAAGTACCCTTTACTTTATAAAGCCTACTCTGTGAGTGTTCTGATAGTTGTCACTGGTCACACAACCAGATCTGGGACTCAAACCAGGCAAGACGGCTCTTTCCATAGAGCCCAGTTGCACACAGCTTTGAGACCCGAAGCCCCACCAAGGGGCTAGGGGGGAGCATGGCCCTTGAAGGCAGCAACGTCATGGAAGCTTGGCTCTGGCTCCTGCCCAGCGTCCGGTTCTGTCGGGCTATGCCGGGGCCCAGAGGCCTGGGTCTGGAACTCATCAGCCCCACCTGTCAGCCCTTCCCTGGCCGGCACCCGGGGGCCTTCAGTTATCACTAAGGAGAGTGTGGCCTCCGACCAGGGGTTCTGCATCCCTTCCCTGTTGGGGACCTAGGGCAGGGAGCTGTGCTCCCATCAGCCAAGCACCCCCAGCTTAACGGAGCTCTGTTATATGAACAGGTACCATGAAATATACAGAGACCTCAGTCATTCAATAAATATTTATTGAACACCTATAGTGTGCCTGGCCCTGAGCTGGTTCCAGGGAATCTGACAGAAATTCCTGCCTACATTCTAGTAAAAGAAGTTGTAAAGGAAAGCAGAAGTGTGATGGGAAATAAAAAAAAAGAGAGCAATTCACTTTACACAGAGTAGTCAGAGAAGGCCTCTGAGCTGAGAGAGGGAAGTACAGCTAGAAAGAGCATTCCAGACAGAGGAGAGGGCCTGCACAAAGGCCCTGAGATAGGAAAATCTGGGGTGTCTGGAGAGCCACAGACCACTGCAAGGTGGCCCCAGCAAGCTCTCCCAAGTAAGTGCCCACTGGACAAATGAACAAACCATCACGAGGATCTCTGGGTCCGGCTGAGGTGGGGTAACCAAGACTGGATTTACATCCCCACCTAAGATGACTAAAATACCCAACAAAATATATCAAAGAATGGTTCTCAAGACACTGGACACCAAGACCATGAACCAAAAAGGAATGAGCTGTGGAAAGAGAGGACTCTGGAGCTCTGCAAAGGGTAACCTCTTCATTCATTCAGCTTGGTACCTGCATGTGAAGAAACTACTAGAAGCACTGTTAGAATCAACCGATATGATTAGAGTAATCCCTGGAACTCACACAAGGCTGGGAATAGTGCTGGTCCCACAGACCAAACTGGAAACCTCACAATTAGGGGGGTATTGAGTAGAGCACTCACAAGACTTTTTGACTCAGAAGTGGGTGAAAACGGAAACACTCCTCTGGCTCCATCTAACAAAAGCAAGACCTGAAAAAAGACCATACTGTTGCGAAGTGCTTTTGCATCCCCAGAGCAAAATTCAAGAATATTGATAAGAATACAAAAAATCGAGCACCTGGGCAGCCCCGGTGGTCAGCGGTTTAGCGCTGCCTGCAGCCCAGGGTGTGATCCTGGAGACCTGGATCAAGTCCCACGTCAGGCTCTCTGCATGGAGCCTGCTTCTCCCTCTGCCTGTGTCTCTGCCTCTCATTCTCTCTCTGTGTTTCTATGAATAAATAAATAAAAAATCTTTAAAAAAAAATCGAGCACCCAAGAAAATAAGATTCACCACGTCTGGCAACTGATAAAAATTAGCACGTACACAAAGAACCTGGAAAGTATGACCCAGAATGCAAAGAAAAAAAAAACCGATCAATAAAAAAACCCTACCCAGAAATTACCCAGATGATGGCATTAGGAGACACAGACATTAAAAGCTATAACTATGTTCCATATGCGCAAGAAGATAAAGCAAAGACTGACCATGTTAAGTAGAGAAATAAAATTTTTTAATAGACCCAAATTGAAATTCTAAAAATGTAAACTATAAAAAATACACTAGATGGATGAATGGAACCTTAGATGTCACAGACTAGTAAACTTGAATACAGAGACAGAAACTATCCCAAATAAAATACACAAAGGAAAAAGATATCAAAATAATAACAATGTGGCCTTGGCAACCTGTGACATGACTTCAAGTGCCAAGCATATATGTGTAATTAGAGTCTTCCAAAGAGGGAGGAGGACAAGAAAAAAGAAATACTTGAAGGAAAAGAAAAAAAAATAACTGAAAAACTTCTAAGTTTGATGAAAACTTTGATGAAGATTTGATAAATCCAGGATGCCTGGGTGGCTCAGTGGTTGAGCGTCTGCCTTTGGCTCAGGGTGTGATCCTGGGATCCCGGGATTGAGTCTCGCATTGGGCTCCCTGCAGGGAGCCTGCTTCTCCCTCTGCCTGTGTCTCTGCCTCTCTCTGTGTCTCTAATGAATAAATAAATACAATCTTTAAAAAAGAGGCATGGATGTTCTCAGATTATATAGCCCTCTTCAGCCAGGCTCTCTGGACTGGCTGAAGAGATCTGGGGGCAGATAGCCAGCACCCCGATCTCCCATCTTGGCAGGGCTAATGTCCCTATGCGCAAGAAGACAAAGAAAAGAATGGTTCTCAAGACACTGGACACCAAGACCATGAACCAAAAAGGAATGAGCTGCTTTTTCAATCTTTAAAAAAGATTGTATTTATTTATTCATGAGAGACACAGAGAGAGAGGGGCAGGCTCCATACAGGGAGCCCAATGTGGGACTCAATCCCCTGTCTTCAGGATCATGCCCTGGGCCAAAGGCAGACACTCAACCGCCTGGCCACCCAGGTGTCCCTCTTTTAAAATTTTTTGATAAATCCAGAGATTTAAGACACTTAATGAACACCAAGCACAATCCACATAAAGAAACTATACCAGGCTCTCTGCTCCTCCCAACTCAACAGACAGCTACATCTTCTTGTGTAATACCAGCTGGGTCCCTAAGATACAATGGTAAAAGTTGGAGTAAATGGATTTGGCCATATTGGATATCTGGTTACCAGCCCTTTTTTTTTTTTTTTAAGATTTTATTTTTAAGTAATCTCTACACTCATGTGGAACTCAAATTTACAACCCCAAGATCAAGAGTTGCATACTGAACCAGCTAAGCCAGCCAGGTGCCCCAAGGGGGGTACTGTTGCCATCAATGACACACCTTCATTGATCTCAAAACCACATGGTCTACATATTCTAGTAAGAGTCCACATGTGGCAAGTTCAATGGCATGGTCAAGGTTAAGAATGGGCAGCTTGTCAACAATGGAAAGCCCATTTCCATCTTTGAGGGGTGAGACCCCACCAATGTCAAGTGGGGGTGCTCCTGGTGCTGGATATGTTGTAGAGTCTACTAGTGTCTTTACCTTGGAGAAGGCTAGGGCTCATTTGAAGGTAGAGTCTAAAAAGGTCACCACCTCTGCCCCTTCTGTTGATGCCTCCATGTATGTGATGGACATGAACCATAGGAAGTATGACAACTCCCTCAGGACCCTCAAATGCTTCCTGCACCACCAACTGCTTGCCCCCCCCCGCACCCCCCCCCCAGCTAATGTCATCCGTGACCACCTTAGCATCATGGAGGGACTTATGACCACAGTCCATGCCATCACTGCCACCCAGAAGACTGGATGGCCTCTCTGGTAAGCTGTGGCATGATGGCCATGGGCTGCCCAGAACATCATCCCTGCTTCCACTGGCACTGCCAAGGCTGAGGGCAAAGTAATTTCTGAGCTATATGGGAAGCTCACCAACATGGTCTTCCATGTTTCTTCTTTTTTTTTTTTTTTAACAACAGATAATCAATTAATTAAAAAGGTTGATTTAAGCCATCTGCAATGGTGACTTCAACCTCAACTCCAGGCTCAATTCTGATGGAGGTAATCTGCTTAAGAATCTCAGAAGGATTGTGCAGATCAATGAGTTGCTTGTGGATCCTCATCTGAAAACGATCCCAAGTCCTAGAACCTTCACCACAAGGAGTCTTTTTCATAGTGATTCTCAGAGTCTTGGCAGGCATCCTCACTGGTCCTTTCACTTTGAGATTCTTTTCCTTCGAACCTCTGCTCAAGTCAGCACACACCTTTTCCAAAGATTTTACGTTGTGAGTGGTTAGAGTAATTCTAATTCGGTGAATCACCACCTCTGGTTCCACGGGGGTCTTCGTCTTCCCAGTGTCTTTAAGTGCCATGGTTGTGGTGCAGCTTCCTGACCGACTTGTTCCTGGTAAACAGCGGGGAGTCAGGAGCAGGAGCAGGGCGTCCTGGGCTCCCCTCTCGCTGTGACTGCGTCTTCCTCAAAGAGCGGTCTTCTATGTTTCTATTCTTAATGTGTCAGCAGGATCTGATCTGCTGCCTGGAGAAAGCTGTCATATTTGATGATATCAAGAAGGTGGTGAAACAGACATCGGAGGGCCCCCTCAAGGGCATCCGGGGCTGCACTGAGGGCCAGGTTTGTCCTGCATTTTTAATAGGGACACTCGCTCTTCCACCTTTGATGCTGGGGCTTGTGTTGCCCTCAATGACCACTTTGTCAAGGTCATTTCCTAGTATGACAATGAATTTGACTACAGTAATAGGGTGGTAGACCTTATGGTCCACATGGCCTCCAAGAAGTAAGAGTTTCCTAGGCCAACACCCCCAGCAAGAGCACAAGAAGAAGAGAGAGGCCTTTAGCTGCTTGAGAGTGTTTACCCCAACTCAATCTCTCAACATACGCAGACTCTACAGTTTCAATCCCAGAATCCCTAAAGGGTGGAAGGGGCTTAGGGAGGCCTCCCTGTGGTGTACCACCAATAAAGGACACTGGACTCAGCTCCTTCTCCTCCAAAAAACCTATACCAAGGTGTATCATAAATTATTTTAAAAATGTGATAAAGAGAAATACTTAGGAGGCCAGAGTGGGTCACATGCGTGACTCACTCAATTAAGCGTCTGACTCTTGATCTCAGCTCAGGTCTCGATCTCAGGGTCACAAGTTAAAGCCGCATCTTGGGCTCCATGCTGGGCAAGGAACTAACTTAAAAATAAAAATATAAATAAATAAATGTAGCCAGAGTAAAAAGACATATTACATACAAAGAGAAATAAGGCTAACAGATTTATTTATTTAATTATTTATTTATTTATTTATTGTCAGAAAGCATGCAGGCAAAAAGACAGTGGAGGCATATCTTTAAAATATAAGAAGAGAGGTGCCTGGCTGGATCAGTCAGAAGAGCATTTGACTCTTGATCCCAGGGTCTTGAGTTTAAGCCCCATTTTGGGTGTAGAGTTTACTTAAATAAATGAATAAATTAAAAAATACAGAAAGAAAAAATACAACATCAACCTAAGATGTTTACCTAGCCAAAAAAAAAAAAAAATCAAAAATGAAAGTGAGACCACATGGGATGAAATTAGAAATTAATGACAAAAGGAAATTTGGAAAATTCAGACATGGAAATTAAGCAATGAGTTTGAAATAAGCTATGGTCCAAAAAAGAAATCTCAAGGGAAGTAAAAAATACTTTTTTTGAAAAATATTTTATTCATTTATTCATGAGAGATGCACAGAGAGAGGCAGAGACATAGGCAGAGAGAGAAGCAGGCTCCATGCAGGGAGCCTGATGCGGGACTCGATCCCCAGACCCAGGATCACGCCTTGAGCCAAAGATAGGTGCTCAACTGCTGAGCCACCCAGGCATCCTGAAAATACTTTGAAATAAATTAAAATCCTATGCCAAGACTTATGGGATGCAGCTAAAGTAGTTAGATGGAAATATATAGCTGTCAATACCTACGTTATTAAATCTGAAATCAATAACATAACTTTCCATCCTAAGATACTTTCAAAGGAGGGACACATGGGTGGCTCGGTGGTTGAGTGTCTGCCTTTGGCTCAGGGCATGATCCCGGAGTCCCAGGATCGAGTCCCACATTGGGTTCCTTGCACGGAGCCTGCTTCTCTCTCTGCCTCTCATGAATAAATAAATAAAATCTCAAAAAAAAAAAAAAAGCAAACTAAATCTAAAGCAAGCAGAGGTAAGGAAATAGTAAAATTTGAGTGTAAATTAATGAAATAGAGAATAGAAAAATAGAAAAAAAAATCCAATAAGCCAAAAGCTGTTTTTTGAAAAGGTCAACAAAATTGACAAACTTTTACTTAGAATGACCAAGAAAAAAGACGGCTCAAATCACTAGAATCAGAAATGAAAGAAGGAACATTACTGCCAACCTTATGAAACAGACAGGATTATTTATAAAAACATGAGGAATACTATGAACAACTGTATGCCAATAAATTTAATAACTTAGATGAAATGGACAAGTTCCTAGAAGAAACAAACTACTAAAACTGATTCAAGAAGTAATAGGTAATCTAGGGGATCCCTGGGTGGCTCAGTGGTTTAGTGCCTGCCTTCCGCCTGGGGCTTGATCTTGGGGTCCCTGGATCGAATCCCAGGTCGGGCTCCTACATGGAGCCTGCTTCTCCCTCTGCCTGTGTCTCTGCCTCTCTCGTGTGTGTCTCTCATGAATAAATAAATAAAATATATTTTTTTTAAAAAAAGAAGTAATAGGTAATCTATATAGACCTATAATAAGTAAAGGGATTGAAGTATTTTTTTAAAAGATTTTATTTTTAAGTTATCCCTATACTCAATGTGGGGCTCAAACTTACAAAAACCAAGATCAAGAGTTGCATATTCCACTGACTGAGCCATCTGGGTACCCTGAGACTGAAATATTAATTTAAGAAATTACCCACAGCCTCAGATAGTTTCACTGATGAATTCTACAAAATATTTAAGAATAATTAATATCAATTCTTCACAAACTCTTCCAGGAAATAGAAGAAAGGGAAACAATTCTCAATTCATTTTATTATGTCTGATACCAAAACCAGACAGAGATCGCAAGAAAACCACAGACCAATCTCTTTTACGAATATAGAGACAAAAATCCTTGACAAAATACTAGCAAACTAAAAAGAATTACAACATATAAAAAGAATTACACCATGACCAAGTGGGATATATCCTGGGAATGCAAGATTAGTTTAACCTCCAAAAATCTATTACTGGGGGTGCCTGGGTGGCTCAGATGGTTAAGCATCTGCCTTTGGCTCGGGTCATGATCTCAAGGTCCTGGCATCCAGCTCCATGTCGGGCTCCCTGCTCAGCTATGAGTCTGCTTCTCCCTCTCCCTGTTCATGCTCTCTCTCTCAAATGAATAAATCTTTTAAAAAGATCTACTACTGTAATACACTTTATCAATAGAATAAAAACCAAAAAGCACATGATTGTCTCAAAAGGTGGAAGAAAAAAAATAGAAAGGGAATTTCCTCCATGTGGTAAAAGGCATCTACAAAAACTTCACAATTAACATGATACTTAATAGTAAAAGACTTGGGGCACCTGGGTGGCTCAGTCAGTTAAGAGTCTACCTTTGGCTCGGGTCATAATCCCAGGGTTCTGGGATCAAGCTCCACATCTGGCTCCCTGCTCAGTAAGTAGTCTGCTTCTCCCTCTCCCTCTGCCCCTACCCCCTACTTGTGCTCTCTCTTTCACGCTCCGTCTCAAATAAATAAAATCTCAAACAAACAAACAAAAAGACTTGATGCTTTCCCACTAAGTTCAGAAACAAAACAAGACACTACTTTTATTCAACATTGTATTAGAGGTTCTAGTCAGGGGAATTAGGCAAGAAATAGAAATTTTAAAAATCAAGGTTGAAAAGGAAGAAGTACAGCTATATTTGTAGATGACATGATTTTGTGTAGAGAAAGTCCTAAGGAAGCCATACAAAAATACTATTAGAACTAATAATCAAAATTCAGCAAGGTTGCAAGATAAAAGACTAGTATATAAATATTGATTGTATTTTTTTAAGATTTTATTTATTTATTTATGAGAGAGAGAGAGAGAGAGAGGCAGAGACATAGGCAGAGGGGAAATCACACTCCTTTCAGGAAGCCTGATGCAGGACTTAATTCCAGTATTCCAGGATCACAACCTGAGCCAAAGGCAGTCACTCAACAACTGATCCGCCCAGTGCCCCAAAAATCTATTGTATTTCTACATGTAAGAATCTGAAAATAAAATTAAGAAAACAACTCCATTAGTAATAGCATCAAAAAGAACAAAATATTTAGGAATAGTTTATGTGTTGCCAAAACGAGCACCAAAATGCTTCAGAAAAGATTTAAGAAAATATGTTCATGAAGGGGCATCTGGGTGACTCAGTCAGTTAGGCGTCTGCCTTTGGCTCAGGTTATGATCTCAGGGTTCTGGGATCAAGCTCCGAGTCAGGCTCCCTGCTCAGTGAGGAGTCTGCTTCCCCCCTCCCTCTGTGTGCATGTGCTCTCTCTCTCAAATAAATAAGTAATTTTTTAAAAAGTGAAAAACTTACACTCAAAAAACATTGTTGAAAGAAATTAAAGATCAAAATAAATGGAAAAACATCCTATGTTCATGAACCAGGAGACTTAGTATTGTTAGGATAGCAATCCTCCCCATTTGATCTACAAATTAACACAAACCCTATTAGAATTCCAGCTGCATCTTTGTAGAAATTGACAAGCTGGTGCTAAAATTCATATTTGAATTGCAAGGCACCCAGAATAGCCAAAATAATCTTGAAAATAAAGAGCAAAGTTGGGGGAATCTATACTTCCTTGTTTTAAAACTTACTACAAAGCAGCCAACAAAAATTTAAGACAGTGTGGTACTGGCATAATGATAGACATATCAATTAATGGAATAGAATTGAGAGTCCAGAAACAAAGCCATGTGTCTACGGTCAATTGATTTTCAACAAGGGTGCAAAGACCATTTAATTGTGAAAGAATAGTTTTTGCAGGAAATAGTGCTGGGACAACTGGATATTCATGTGCAAAAAGAAGGAGGAGGAGGAGGAGAAGGAAGAAGAAGAAGGAGAAGAAGGAGGAGGAGGAGGAGAAGAAGAAATTGGAACGCTTATCTCATACACGTACAAAAAGTAACTCAAAACAGATCAAATACCTAAATTAAGAGCTAAAATGATAAAACTCATAGAAAAAAAACATAGGAGTAAATCCCAAATTCGGCTTTGGATTCCTAAATATGATGCCAAAAGCACAAGTAGCAAAAGAAAAATGAGATAAAATGGATTTTATCAAAATGTAAACTTTTGTGAAGAGAAAAAGTCCACAGAATGGGAGAAAATGTTTGCA